TGCAAGGAGATCCAACCAGTCCATCCTAAAGGAGATCAGTCCTGGGTGTTCATTGGAAGGACTGATGCTGAAGCTGAAACTCCAATACTTTGGCCACCTCATGTGAAGAGTTGACTCATTGGAAAAGACCGTGATGCTGGGAGGGACTAGGGGCAGGAAGAGAAGGGGATGACAGATGATGAGATGGCTGGATGGCATCACTGACTCAATGGACATAAGTTTGAGTAAACTCTGGGAGTTGATGATGGACAGGGAGGCCTGGTGTGCTGCGATTCATGGGGTCACAAAGAGTTGGACACAACTGAGTGACTGAACTGAACTGAACTGAATGGTAACTCCAAAGCAAAAACATATAGGATGTATACTAAAGAAAATAAAAGAGAATTAAACCATACCACTTCGAGAATATCATCAATTCACAGAGGAAGACAGAGAGGATAATAACAAAGGAACTACAAAAAAGTGAGAAAATAATAAGATAGCAATATCATTTTCTTGTGAAAGAGAGTGTTAGTTGCTCAGTTGTGTCTGACTCTCTGCAAACCCATGGACTGTAGCCTGCCAGGCTCCTCTGTCCATGGAATTCTCCAAGCAAGAATACTGGAGTGGGTAGTCATCCCCTTCCCTAGGGGATCTTCCTGATCCAGGGGATCAAAGCCAGGTCTCCTGCATTGCACACAGATCCTTTACCATCTGAGCCACCTTATCTATCAATAATTACTTTAAATGTAAATAGATTAAATTCACAAATCAAAAGGCATAGAGTGGCTGTTGAATGGATTAAAGAAAACATGGGCCAACTCTATGGCACATAGAAGAGACTCATTTAGCTGGATGAACACTTATTATCCCAAAGTGAAGGATGAAACAATGAAACCAAAAGAAAGTGAGGGTAGCTACACTTATGTCAAACAAAGATTTTAAGTCAAAAAATATAGCAAAAAAAAAAGTCATTATATAATGATAAAGGGGTCCATTCATCAAGAGGTTATATCTATTATAAATATAAAGTATGTAACAATTATAAATATAAACTTTATAATTTCATTATAAATAAACTCAGCATCAGGGCATGGCAACTAACTACATTGTTCTTGCCTGCAGAATCCCCATGGACAGAGGAGCCTAGTGGGCTACAGCCCATGAGGTCACAAAGAGTTAGACATGACTGAGTGACTGAACACACCATGCACATATATAAATTAAATAACCTAAATATTAGAAACAAATTCCTAGAAACATACAACCTGCCAAGACTTAATCATAAAGAAATATAAAATCTGAACAACCCTAAAAAAAAATAAGAATATTGCAAAGGAGTCAGAAACCACTGAACAAAAAATTCCAGGACCAGAAAATTTCACTGATTAATTCTACCAAACATTTAAAGAATTATTATCAGTCCTTCTCAACCTCTTTCAAAAAATGAAGAGGAGGCAACATACCCTAACTCATTTGACAAGGTCAGCATTACCCTGATACCAAAGCTAGAGAAGGGTATTACAGAAAAACCACAGGTAAATAAACCTGATGAATAAAGATGCAAAATTTCTCAAAAAAATATTATTAGCAAACTTATTTAACAATACATTAAAAAGATAATACACCATGGTGAACGGGGATTTACCCCTGGGTTTCGAGGATGATTCAACATAGAAAATGATTAGATGTAGTATACCACATTAATTGAATGAAAGATTAAAATAATATAATCACCACAATAGATGAAGGAAAAATTGACAGAATTGAACATTCTTCCATAATAAAAGCTCTGAAAAATTTTGGTATAGAAAGAACATGTTGTTGTTCAGTCCCTAAGTCATGTCTGACTCTGTGACCCCATGGATGGCAGCACACCAGGCTTCCTGGTCTTCATTATCTCCCAGAGTTTGCTTAAACTCTTGTCCATTGAGTCAGTGATGCCATCCAACCATCTTACCCTCTGTTGCCCCTTTCTCC